AACAGAGGACAGTTGGTATCAGAATTGGTAAAAAGATTGGAGAGAGGAGCACACTATAACAGCAGATTTCAAGTCCAAAGAACGAGGTCAGACGACATCCAGATGCAGGATCCAAATTGAGCAAAAAGCAAGATAGCTTTGCCAGATTGTCTATCAAGGAAGCTTCAAAAATTTCATGGAAAATTAAAAAAAAAACTTTTCATGGAAAATGACATTAAAAGATAATGGAATTGTTTAATACCATTTTAAATGGCATTAAAAGATAATGTATGTTTTGAAGCCCTCTCATATACTGGATGCAGGCTACATCCCTGAGGAAACTCTTTCAATTGATTGACTGCTCATAGGTGGTTGCAGTAGTACATAAATGGCCAAACCACTCATAATTCTGATCCAGCCAAATTGACACACCATAACCTTCACAGGAATCTACATCCCATTATTATCTGCATTCTCCAAACTTTTTTGGTAACATTTTCTTATTGGTTACCAAAAAAATCGAGCATGTACTCCCATTATTTATATATATAAAAGGGTTTCAAAAAGTTCATGGAAAATTGGAACTGAAATGTTTCCATAAAATTTTTTAAGTTCCTTTGTGTGTGCTCTTGTGTACATGAGGACATGTCAAAATCATCTTGGAAAAATGAATAGAATCAACAATACAAACGTTATTTCTTGACTTAAACTACATCAAGCTCAAGACAAAATTTTAATTGGTGATAACCAGACACTTAGTCCATCCCTAAAGGACTGGGGGCGGAGGGGTGTTCTGGGAATTTAACCATGACAATACAGTCTCTTTTACATTACTAACTGAAGAAAAATGGGTGCCCTTTAAATTATTTGGAAGATTCCAAACACCAGACCCACTGCCTTCAAGTTGGTTATGACTCCTAGTGATACTGTAGAACAAGAGTTGAACATCTTAGGGTTTCCCAGAAGGCCCAGCTGGTGGGTTTGAACTGCTAAACTTGTGGTAAGCAGCCCAACATGTAACCCATTGCACCACCAGAGCCCTTTGTTTAAGATTAGGAGTCAGAAGGAGCCAAATCAGGAGCATAAGGTGGAGACCTAATGATTTTCCATTGAAACATGCACAAAATTGCCCTTATTTGATGCGTAGAATGACTAGGAATAATGTCGAAGTAGAAAAGGAGTTTGTAACGAAACTTCCCCTGGCATTTTTCTGCCAAAGCTTTGACTGATTTTCCCAATGAACTCTCCTAAGCAGGTATAATTCTTTGGCCCTCCAGAAAATCAATATGCAAAATGCCTTGAGCATTATAATAAAGTACTGCAATGACCTTTTCCCTTGGCCAGTCCAAATATGCTTTCATAGAACCACTTCCGCCTCTTGGCAGCCATTGCTTTGATTGTGCTTTGTCTTCAAGATCATAAGGGTAAAAAG